CTGCCCATATGCCGGTGCTGGATATCCGACTGGTGGAGGAATGCCCTGATCTATACGAGACATATGTTGAGCTGGAGGCACCGCCATCACTGGTGGTGGTCCAAACTTGCCATCTCTTTTGTCCATTTCAACCTTGTGCTGTGTCTGCATTGCTCCACAATAGTACATCACTTAATAATGAGCATAGAAAAGGATCCAAAATAATATAATGAGTCATCATTCAATTTAAAATTTTGATGATTTTGTCGTAAATTTATGTGGTGATTTAGATTTTTACTGCCACAAAGTTTTAAATAAGAAGCTGAAAATGAAGTGTCTGCTTAAGATAATATATTGCTCAGGTACAAGTAAAAACAAAAAAAGAAACAAATCAAAAGGGCATTTTGATTAACCGGTAACTTACCTGCATACAAGCACAAACCCTGCAAAATTAGAAACCGGGTAATCAGTACTAGGTTTTTGAAACTTCTAGGCTAAGGTTGTTGACAGCAGTGTATTACAGGGCTTACGTGCAATAAACCAAATCCGAGAAGCAGGACAGTATCTGAGAAGCCTCTTGAAGTTCATCAATGCCGGTAATACAAGCAACTAGGGAAAATATACAGGCCAATTGTTGGAGGCAGAGCATGAATCCCTGTAAAAGGAAGCAATGCATATATGAGGGACACAAAAACTAAAGCACTAAGCCCTGTATACTATGTGTGTGAGAGAGAGAGAGTTACAATAATGCAGTTATCACACGGTGTGGTCTGTATGTTGAACTCATCTTGCAACATGAAACGTGTTGATGCAACTGAATTTGCAAAGCAAAGAAAAACCTAAAGCAAGAACAAAGCATGAAAGAAAGAGAGAGAGATGGTATTAAAATTAATAGAAAACACGGATTGCAGACCATTTAGTTGTTAAAGTGATGAATGAATGAATATATCAGAAACATCAGGATTAAGATCATATGAACCTCTTACCTCAGTGCAAAGACAAAATTCAGGGCATTTACTTTCTCCACACTTCCCACTACAAGGCATATAGCCACCACAGCATGTGTACCTATATAACCAAAAAAAAAAAAAAAAAGCTTAACAACTCTATTTTTGATATCATAAGAGCTCATAAAAAGCTTAGCCATTGGTTACCTTGACATGTCATCGTAAAGAGCTCGTTTGCGGAGCAAGTACGATACACAGGGAGCACTACATTATAAGATAGATGAATTAATTAGGCTACCAACTTCATTGTAGTAAGATCAAAATAACATATGAAAAGTACTTCCAAGTAAGCTTTTTGTTGATATAATCATAAACAAGATAGCAAACTGATAAGAAGGCAGCAATATAAGAAAAGAATAGTATAAAGGTGACACTAGATAAAAGAGAAAAATTTTGAGATAAAGAGGGAAATAAAAGAGAAAACATTGCTCAGGACTAAAAGATGTGCTTACAAAATAGTTAAGTTGGAGCGCAATTCTCAGCCATGTAGGTTATAGAAAAAATTAACACTTAACAAGTCCACCTTTCCTCATTACTTGTTCTTTCTCATCTTTCTAGGATGTCAAGATCCTTCCTACATTTGTAGGGGGAGAAAAATGAGACACTTTCTGTTTTGCTTATTTATTCCTTCTTCAATCCCCAAAAAAGAGAGCTCTACCCATATATGCATTTTCCCTCTCTTACATTAATCCATTCATTGAGAAAACATTGAAGCCAAAAGTAGTTTTAACTAATTCAATTCGAGTGTTTAATGGGTAAAAAAAAATAAGAATAATTGAAATGTAGAATTTCTTTTGGTGTTCTTTCTTTCTTTATTTTATTAAGTTGTGCTATTATAACTATTTTGTTGAATCTTAACCTTTAAAATTCACATTAATTCCATCAGAAAAGATGATTGCAACTTGCAAGGTAGATGCCGCTTTCCAAATGAACCTTTGAAACATCAAAATCAGCTATGATAACCTCTTTGCACACAATTTACATGAGTTCAAAAACAGGATCAGAAAGTGCTTCCCCTACTCTCTATGCCCCTATAAAATTTAACCTTCTTCACAAACGGCAACACTTACATAGATTCAATACACAAACAGGCAGAAATATAAAAGAAAAACTGTTACCAACACCATAATCAAATACATTAAAAACTAGAAGTAGAAAACAAAGAAACTGAGATCAACCCAAGAAAATTCAAGGCACACAAAATCTTCAACGAATTTGGGTATATGACAACTCACAAGACTAGAATTCCAAACAAAACAATAGAATATCCCAAGTGATTGATTCAAAAACATGTTTTTTCCAACGAGTCACACATCAAATTCTATGGATATCACTTATATATAGCAGATAATAAAAAGTCTGTTATCTATTGTAGTATGCCTATTTGCAAAAATATGAACAAAGTGTTGGAATTTGTTCTCATGGTGATGGTTTTCTAGCTCAATATTTACTTTTTGCCCTATATTTATTTTCTGGTGGTAATTACACCAACACAAAGCAAATAAATAACATAACTGATTCATCAAAGGGAAGCATAATTAGCGCATAATCCGGTAACACATGAAAATTTAAACCTATGATAGTCAGACAGTCTAAACCAAGCCAACATGCACCGATTGTGCAATGCAGCTACATAAATAATGCACATATCTAACAGACACAATATAACAAGCACAAAACGTCAAAATATATATACTAAATGTCCAAAAAAGAGATAGATTAATCTCAAAAAGTGTGGTTGTAAAATAGACATAAGAAAAATGAGTATCTATGATATGGTTTTTTTTTTTTTTTTTCAAAGTAAAAAAAAAAAAAAAAAAAAAAAAAAAAAAAAAAGGCATATCATTATCAAACAAACAGATCTTCCAGCTCCGCATTAGCACCATCACCAGTAAGGTTGGTTTCAGCCCTCCTTCCAGAGTTAGGTCGGTGATGCCTTCTTCAACCACTAGACTTGGTTCAGTCTGTTCAAGCCTCTCGAACGGAACAAGAAGATCTATCGCAGTATTAGTGGGCGCTGGACTATCCTCCTCCTCTAAGAATTTTTGTTGAACAGCATTGGCGTACTCGGTATGAAATGGGGAGGGGGATTGAGGAACACTGCAGCTCAACCATCGCTGTCTTCTAGCCGTACTTAAAGAAAATATCCTTGGTCGCCTCACACTGCTGGACGTAGGTTTCCTCGCCCTCTTTGAAACCTCTGTTCTTGGCATCCTCTATCTTCTTTTTCAACTCTTGGATCTCGGCATCCTTTTTCCTCTCTATCTTGGCCAATTCGCGCAGATGGCGATCTTTTTTCTCAGCCAGGGCCTTTTGTTTGTCAGCCTCGCGCCATGTTGACTAGCTCGGCCAGCCTTTTATTTTCAGCAAATAGCTCGGCCATCTTAGCGTTAATTTCCTTCAACTCAGCAGCCTTGGCCTTTACTTCAGCTACGGCTGACTGCGCTGTCTTGCAAAGTTCCATTATGTGCTTTTACGCAACGTAACTTTTTTACATAGCATGCGGTTCAAAGAGAAGTCATTAGGTTAAATTGAGCAAACTATGGATATAGATAAGTAGGTTGATAACTCATAAGCGCCATTGACTTAGCTGCTGACCGAATGGCCTTGAGCTCATTCAAATGGTTGTGATACTCCATGTAGGCCGGCAGACAGAGGCTTTTCGACAAGTTAAAAGCCAGCATGTGATCTTTCTCAGCTACAACCGAATCCGCGATGGACACAGCACAGTTTTTGTAGGACACGGCTAGTACCCACGCCGGCGATGAAGAAGGGCTCGCCCGGCCAAAACGGATTGGCTCCGAGCTCAGTAGCACAGGATCAGGAAGCACAGCCTCTTCCTCATCCACCAAATGTTGTTGTTTGGCGGAGGAAGTGCAAGCGTGCTTGCTGGGCCGAGAACTGGAAGTTCTGGTGGTCGGCAGGGGGACGATCATCTCGCGTGGTTGGTTAGCTGGAACTTGACGAGCTAGGACTTCGGTAGAAGTCTACTCAGTGATGAGGGCACGGACGATTCTTCTCTTGGCCAATTCTTGCTCTTCGGTAAGGGAAATTAGATTGATTTGAGGAAGGCTTGGATCTGGCTTAGGCGAGGATTCCAGGAGAAAGTCAGTAACCTTGCTCCTCCGTTTACCGCTGTAATGATAGGTCGGTTCGAAGTTGAGTAGCTCGATCCAGTCCCGCAGTGCGGTGCAAAGAGCGTCTTGATTGGCGTAAGAATAATTTTGCTTAAGCAATGACCGAGGGTTAGCATGACAGGAGTTGAAAATTCAAATAGCAATGACCGAGATATTTTCATGCCTACGGTGCCTTTGTTCCAATTAATGTTATAGCCTGGTATCTGGGCTTCTTAGTCTTCGTAATTACCAGAAATCTAGAGAAAATCGTTGTTATGCAAATCGTTGTCCGATGTGCGCTTGACGACTTTTTCTTGGCCTCTTTTTACTCTAAGGTAGTAAACCCAACCGTCATCATTCTGGCCGAGCGAGTATTGATAAAATATCTCGGCCAGTCCGAGGTTGAGGCCAAGTTGGCGGTTGAGCTCTGCGATGTCATTTATGATCCTATATGTGTTTGTGGATAGTTGGGTTGGGTAAAGTTTAGTATGCTTGAGGAATTTACAGATGAAAGGTTGGACCGGAAAGCGGAGTCCACCCTCCACTATTGATATCACAGTGAAGGGGCAACAACCAGACTTGCCCTAGGGTACCGTGTCTTGCTCGGCTAAAGTGAACTGGACGTCGTTAGGAATATTGTACTCCTTCCTAAAATTGGCTATGGCCCCTGGCGAGCTAACCATGAAGCGGTATTTGCCCATTGGCTTTAACTTAAGGGTTACTCGGCTGAATGGATCAGTGCCGTTAGGTTGCTCGGTTGAGCAGTACCGTCAGAATAGCAAGTGAATGGTATGCCTTGACAACCTAGTCAAGTCTACAAAGTGAAAAGCAATTTTGGTTATGACCGGTTATTGGCTGAGCTAAAAAGGCTGTGTTAAGGTGAGCTAGTTTTGTTACTCGGCCACATGGCCTAGCATGTTTATCTCGACCGCGATAAAGGGTAGGGTATTTAGCCTGGTCCAGGCCAAGGGGCAATGAGGAAACCCGGTTTAATTTGACCATAATGATTGCTTGCTCGATCGAAGCCACTGAAGATCGTACAAACTATTTTCTATTTTGGTTTCAACGTGGTTTCAAATCAAATTTGCTACTCTTGGACAGCTCCAATTCCAGTTAGAGGGGATTTGTTTCAGAATTTGTGATTTTAGGGGCTTATAATGGTATTTGAGACCATTAGAAGTTCATTTTGAGCTCGTTTGTTGGGTTAGTGTACGATTATGTTATTTTTAACCTATGGGCAAGAAATATTCAACATAAAAAACACGCAAAACATGAAGAACACTATGAGTATTCAGGGCTTAGTGTCGAAGGCTGGTTCAGGGTTTTGGGCAAAAGGAAAGCTTCGAGGAGTGATTGTAAAACCACAAGTGACTTTTGCAGTGTGGATTGGATGAAGCAGTAAGAAAATCTGAGGAGTTTTTGCTTTGGATCGAAGGTTTTTACGCTGGAGAGAATGAACAGTGAATCCAAAAAGATGAGTGTGTAGGTTCTATATTGGCTTAAGGTGAAAAGGCGATGTAGACACCCCATTTTTGACCGTCCTCAAGACTTGGACGTCACCGTTTGAACACTCGGTGATCATCCATGTTTGTGCTCGTTTGGAGTTCCCGGAGGTCTCGGCTCACGCGCCTTGCCTCAGGATTTCCGAACTCGACCGTTTAGTGTCTGGTTTTGCACCAAACACTTGTGTTTTGCCTTGGAAGGGCAGGGTAGGGCTTGTAGACCATCCCCACCTATCACCGGCAGTGGCTAGAGGCCACCGGCTGGTTTTTGCTGCCACCCCGGCACTATTTGTTGCCGGTCAGCACTATTTAGTGCCGGTCGGCACTCTTTTTTGCCAAGTTGACCTTTTTGACCGGCCGATTACTGTGCATCTGCTTTTGCAGATATTTTAAGACAGCTGTCTTGCTTTTGCTCCCCTCCATACACGTGTATGGAGGGATCTCCCTCTTATGAAGCTTGTCTTGTAAGCTTTACAAGACATATAGAGAGAAGCTCTCTTGTTGCTAGGGGAGACACTTGGTTAGAGACTTAGGATATTTTTGAGAGCTTACACAGCCATTGTTAAGCTCTGGTTTTAGGGTTTGAGTTACATACACATCCTATCTCCCTTTCCCTCTCATTTGTGCTCTAGGTGTTTTGTGTCTTACTATTGCACACAAAC